TTGGGAGGAGCCATAGCTGAGCTGCCAGTCTGCTCGGGTCTCCTCTCGTCCCGCCCCCTCTCTGCTCGACTCGGCCGCCTGTCTCTGCCACCTCTCCCTGAGCCCTCTCTGTCCCTGCACCAGGTGGTGACTGGGAGACCTGGAGAAGGGGGCTCAGACAGACCCGGAGCGGCTCCTGGACGTGATAGGGGAGGGTCAGGTGAGCTGACCCAGGAAGTGGACGGGGCAGGTGCTGCTCGGTGGGGCCTCGGTCAGGGTCGGGAGCTGCTCTGTGCGGTAGCTGCAAGCACGTCGTCCCCCTGCAGGGGGCACCCAAGCCCCTCGTGGCCTCCCTCCGGTGTGCTTTGCCCAGGGGTCTGCCTCCTCCACGGCCGGCCCGAGCACTGGGGCCACAGCGGGCAGCCGGTGCAGCCAGGGGGGAGCCCGCTGCTGCCCCAGGCCTGACAGGCGTGGCAGGATTGTCTCAGGCCTCCTGGCTGATGCCACACGCCAGGGCTGCGGGGGGAGAGGGGCCCAGAGGAGGGAGGAGGTTGCGCTGGGCCACAGGGAGTCAAACCCAAGCTCTTTCTCTTGCTACCGGGGCTCAGGCACTGAGAGCTCTGCCGCCCGTCGGGTTTCCCTTTTTGCGCGGCTGCCAGGAAGCTCAGAGGCCGTTCGTAAACCACCTGGGCTCGTCCTGTAAGCCAGCCAAAATCCTCCCAGAGGCAGGGCATGTTGTCTTGGTTCCAGTCACGTGCCTGACCCCGTTCCCTGCCTGGTCACACGCGGGGTCTTGTTGGAGCACGTGGGACAGACAGCCATGCCCTTTTATAGATCTGGACACAGAGACAGAAATCAACTTGGCCAAAGTCACAGAGCTCCTGTATGACAGCGGCAGAATTCGAACCCAAGACTCTGGGGCCCTCCCAGCCAAGATCCGTCCTCTGCAGACAGGCATGCTAGTGCCACTGGACCTGGCCCCGAGCCCCAGGGCCACCCTCCTGCCCACGGATGTGCCCAGTGCCTGCCACTTTTCCTCACTGGCCGGGGGAGCACCCTGAGGAGAGGGGGTGGGGGCTTGGTTTTGAAGCTTTTTCCTTGTCCCCTCTTTGCAATCCTGCTCTGTACTATCCTCGTGGAGAGGTTTGGGTGCTAAAGTCGGCTTTTATTTTTAATATTTATTTATTTTTTTGAAAGTCAGGGTTACACAGAGAGAGGAGAGGCAGAGAGAGAGAGAGAGAGAGAGAGAGAGGTCTCCAATCCGCTGGTTTAATCCCCAAATGGCCACAATGGCCAGAACTGTGCCTATCTGAAGCCAGGAGCCAGGAGCTTCTTCCGGGTCTCCCACATGGGTGCAGGGGCCCGAGGACTTGGCCATCTTCTACTGCTTTCCCAGGCCATCAGCAGAGAGGTGGATCAGAAGCGGAGCAGCCGGGTCTCGAACCGGCGCCCATATGGGATGCCGACTCTGCAGGCCAGGGCATTAACCCGCTGTGCCACAGTGCCAGTCCCTAAAGTTGGCTTTTTTAAAATTTGAGAAGCACAAAGAGAGACAGACACAGCTCCCACCCACCGGTTCATTGTGCAATGTTACAACAGCTGGACACTGGGCTGGGCCGAAGCCAAGAGCCAAGGAGCTCCACTCAGGTCTCCCACGTGGGTGGCAGGGGCGCACCTGCTCGAGCCCCCACTTGCTGTCTCCCAGGGGCAGCGGCCGGACACTGGAGTCGGGAGAGGAACTGCGACTCCAGCCCAGGCACTCCGATAGAGGGCGCAGATCAGAGATACACAGCGGTGTCTTTTCACAGAGAGGTCTTCCACCTGCTGGTTCACTCCCCAGATGGCCTCAGTGTCCAGCACTGGACCAAGCTGAAGCCAGGAGCCAGGGGCTCCATCAGGGTCTCCCACGTGGGTGCAGGGGCCCGAGCACTTGGGCCATCCGCCGCTGCTTTTCCCAGGCCGTTAGCAGGGAGCTGGGTTGGGAGTGAAGCAGCCAGGGCTCGAACCGGCGCCCGTATGGGATGCTGGCGTCACAGGCGGCAGCTTTACCCACTACGCCACAGCGCCGGCCCCTAGTGCTGTCCTCATGCCCACCCCTGAAGCTTGTGTTTACAGAGAGGCTGGCAAACGTTCCCTGGAATCCCGACAGCCTTTATAGTTAGCGCTTAGCCCAAGCAAACGGCCACAAGGGGGACAAAGCTGCCCCCAGATGGTCATCGGAGGGCTTGGATGGAGAGGAGGAAGCACCGGGGCTCTGCAGTGGGGGAAGGGTGAGGCCGCAGAGCTCAGTCCCGGGCCGGCCTCGCGCAGGGACCCGTGCCCTGTGCTCTCCGCTTCCGAATGTCTTCCTTCGACCTTCGAGCTTGTGTTTTGCAAGTGAACTTCACAGCACACGTGTGAGCAGAGGAGGAACTCCGAAGCGAGGAAAAGCACAAGATTTTACTGCTTTTCACGGCTCCGTTTACTTGGTTATCGAACAAGAATTCCACACCTCCCATCTAGCGTGGGCCCCACGAATGACGTAGCTGGTCCTGTGTGGAGCCGTGGGAAGGTCGCTGGGCTGGGGGCCGGGAGGCCTGGGTTCAAGGTGCCCGCATTCCGGGGCTCGGGCTGCCCCCAGGACCCGTCAGAGGCCCCTGAGCCCTGTGATCTCGGGGCACGATGTCCTCATGGAAGACTCCGCCGGTGCGCAGCAAAGTCACGACCCAGGAAATGCAACCCAGGAAGAAGGAGTCCTGGTCATGGCCGCTGACCTGAGAGGACTCAGAGAGACCAGGAGGGAGCAGCCCTGGGCGCAGTGCCCTGCTGACCTCCCCCGGATGTCCTTCTGTTTCACCGTGAGGCGTTTAAACGCCTAAGGAAAGGAGGTTTCCAGAAACAGCGGGGGGTAGGAAGCCACAGTGAATTCGCAAGGCTGGTGTCTGGGGGGGCTGTGGGCAAGCAGCTGACTGTCAGCTTCCCCCAGACCACACCCTCTTCCTGCACCCCCCCCGCACCCCTCCCAGCTCCCCTTCTTCCACTCCCTGGGGGCTGTGACTGAGCGGGAGGGGCCAGGGCAGGGCAGGGCAGGGCAGGGCAGTGGGGGGCAAGCGGCTGGGCCCCTGCAGCCTGCAGCCCCATAGCTGAGGCTTGATTTATGCCCACGGCACAGCGCCACGGCTGCCAGGGGAGATCGGGGAGCGGCACACGCGGGAGCAGGGAGCAGAGCGGGAGGCAGGTGGGAGGGCTGTGAACGGGGAGCAGGTGGGAGAGGGAAGGTGAGTCAGCTCTGAGCGGAGGGAGCGGCAGAATCTGGGGCGGAGCCGCTCCGTGCAGCCGCGCCCTGCGCCCGCCTGTGCTCCACTCTGCAGCTCTGCACCCCGCCCCCTCAGTGCCTCCCTGGCGCTCAGGAGCTCTTGGCTTTGCCCCTCCTGCGTCCCGCAGGTCGCCTTGCTGTGACTGGCCGGAGAGCCAGGGGTGTCTGAGCAGGTGGCAAACGGGGGGCCAGGATGTTGGGGAGGGACCTTGAAGGGGCCCCGTAGCTCTGGGTGTGGTGGGGGCCCCGCAGGGTGGGCCCCATGTGCCCTGGGGTCTGAGTCCAGGAGCACCTGAGCCCGAGTCCTCTGTGGGTGCTGCTCGGCGCAGCCTTACGGAGAACCCAGCAGGCAGGGGCAGGGGGGCGAGACCGGCCAGGGCTTGCCAGGCCTGCAGTGCTGGAGAGAGGGGCCGGGGCTCCCAGGTGAGAGCCTGAGGGGGTCTCCCCAGGCAGAGGGTGGAAGGGCGTCGTCCCCCCCGCCCCAGTAGCCCTGCCCCAGCCAAGTGCACGCTGGGAAGTCAGGTGGGGGCAGCCCCTGCTGGAGGCACGGAGAGCAAAGTGGAAGCAGCCCCTCTGCCTCCGGTCTCCCGGCCCTGGCTCCTGAGCCCCCACCTCCTCCCCTGCCCAACGAGACCTCTTGGGGTCTGGGATGAGTTCGGGGAACTGAGGGAGGTGAGAGGTGCACCCAGGTATTTGGGTGGGACTTGGAGGCCCCTGGTGAGACTGTTGCCAGGCACGCCGGGTGCACGGTGCCCGTGCTGGTCTTTCAGAGTGGCCCCTCCCCGGGAGCTCGCCTGCTGGCTCCTGAGGTAGGGGATTCCCGGGGGCAGGGACGGTGCCCTCTGCCTCCTTACAGCCCGGATGCTGGGCGTGTGGCTGGCACGTGGGACAGGGCTGGAGCTGGAAGGGCCCCTCGACTTAGGGCTCCTGCGGTGGGCGGGGTCCATTCCCCACCCTTTGAATCTGGGCAGGGCCTTGTGACCTGGATAGGCCACTGGAACCCAGTGGCAGTTCTACAAGTTCAGAGACCTGACAGCCTCTGCCTTTGCCCTCAAAGGCTGCTGCACCGAGGTGCCCAAGGTGGCTGCTGGAGGAGGAGAGACCCCTGGAGGAGGACCAAGGACCCCAGCCAGCAAACAGCCAGGCCGTCCAGCTGAGCACAGCGGCCGCAGGGAGCTCGGGAGAAACCAGGGTGGGAGCCCTGAGTGAGTGCTTGTGACCCAGCCCAGGACCGCGGAGGCCCAGGGAGGGGAGCGCCTCCTGGAGACCCCACAGCAGGGCAGGGACCAGCCGCCCGCTGCTCCTGGAGCCCGTGTGACCACGGTGGCCGGCGTCAGGTCCCCTCCCCCACTGCCCCCACCCCGGTTAGGAGGGCTGCCTGTCACCCCGCCAGGCTCTCCCAGGAGGTAATAACTCAGCTTCGACTCCGGCACGGGCTCTGTGGTGCCGACGGGAGCCTCCCCAGTAGCTCCCGGGGGGAGAACGCAGGTGACAAGTCCCCCATGGTCAGTGTCTGAGGACGGGCCACACACGTGCACGTGCACGACACACGTGGGTACACACTTACACGTGGGCATGTACGCATCCCGCAGGCACACACACAAGCATGAACACAAACACGCACACACACACACGCGTGCGCGTGCTGGTACAGGCACGCACAGACACGCTCCCAAATGCTCTCTCTCCTTCTTTCTCACCCCTCCGTCTACAACCAGCCTACCCCTCCTGGACCATATACTTTATTAAAAATATATAGTTACAAACTCCACTGTCAGTCTTGGCTGGGCCTGGGAGCCTGGAGGGACCACGAGGAGGGAGGGAAGGGCCCTCCCCCTTGCCCCTTGGGGTCCTCCCTCTGCACCCAAACCCAGAGCCATCCAGGGGCCAAGACGGCCGGCCCCGAGGGCCGCACGGGGCCAGCCGGGCAAGGGCAGGCGCTGGGCTGGAGGGGCGGGGCGGGGCGGGGTGCGCGGATCGGGACTGCATCTCCTCGTCCTGCAGGTAGAAATGGCAGAAGGTGGATGGGTGTCTCCGTGTCTCTCCCTTTTAAATATTTACAAAACACGGTCATGAGCAACAGGCCACAGTCATGCAAAGAAAAAGCAGCCCCCCGCCCTCCCCCCACCGAAGCCCCTGCCCCCCCAAGGACCCCACGATGCCGCCTCCCCCTCCCCCCCGCAGCAGTCCGGGGCATGTCCTGGAAGGGTCAGTGCGGGGAGCACAGTGGGTCTGGGGGCCCGGAGCCGCCCGTGGGTGGGCGCTGGGGGACCCTGGGCCCTCTCCCAGGCCCGGGCTCTGGAGTGCACAGGAATGGACTCTGCCAGTCTCGGAAGCCCCCCACCCCACCCCCGCGCCTTCGTGCCGAAGGTCCTCGGAGCCCTGAGCGTGGGAGGTCAGATGGCCGACTCCCTGCGGTAGGAGACGTTGTCCAGCGGGAGCGTGGCCTGCATGCGCTCCAGATCCAGGTGGCTCCCGAACTCCAGCATGTGTATGATGCCCGCCTCCTCCTTGGAGCCCGCCTCCAGGCCCAGGCCCGCGGCCACGGCCGCCGCGGCCACCGCCTCCTCCTCCATCTCCTCTTCCTCCTGGCTCATGAGGGCCAGCTCGTTCTCGTAGCAGAAGGCACTGGGCGGGGGCGGCGGGGCGGGCAGCACGGTGATCTTGCTCTCCTGTAGCTCCCGGGCCGAGCAGCAGGGCGTGCCGGCCACCTCGTAGGTCTTGTGGAAGCGGGAGTAGTCCACCTTGTAGTGGCTCTTCTCCTCGAAGACCACCGGCTCGAAGCGGTGGCCCCACAGGATCTCGCTGGCCAGGTAGGAGCTGCGGGCCTGCGTGGTCATGGCCGTGGCCTCCACCATGCCCTCGAGGATGACCACGATCTCGAAGTCCTCGGACTCCAGCTCCTCCTTGCCCATGCCGTACAGCGGGCTGTCCTCGTCGATCTCGTGCACGATGATGATGGGCGAGACCAGGAAGATGCGGTCCAGGCCGATGTCGTAGCCCACGTTGAGGTCCCGCTGGTCCAGCGGCAGGTACTCGCCCTCCTGGGTCATGTAGGGCTTGATGAGCTGGGCCCGCACGTGCGCCTCCACGATGTGGCTCTTGCGCAGGTTGCCCACGCGCCACATCAGGCAGAGCTTGCCGTCGCGCACCGAGATGACCGCGTGGTGGCTGAAGAGCAGCGTCTGCGCCCGCTTTTTGGGCCGCGCCATCTTGGCCATGATGGTGCCAATCATGAAGGAGTCGATGACGCAGCCCACGATGGACTGGACCACCACGGCGATCACGGCCAGCGGGCACTCCTCCGTCACGCACCGGAAGCCGTAGCCGATGGTCGTCTGGGTCTCCACCGAGAACAGGAAAGCGCCCAGGAAGCCGTTCACATGCATAATGCAAGGCTTGGGGGCCGCTGAGGCCGTGCCGCCCGCCGGGCCCCCCGCCGCGGGCACCGCCGGGCCGGCCTCCAGGTCGCCGTGGAAGAAGGCGATGCACCAGAAGAGGAGGCCGAAAAAGAGCCAGGAGACGAGGAAGGCCGCGGAGAAGATCATGAGCATGTAGCGCCAGCGCGTGTCCACGCACGTGGTGAAGATGTCGGCCATGTAGCGCTGAGACTTGTTGCTCAGGTTGGCAAAGTACACGTTGCACTGGCCGTTCTTCTTGACGAAGCGGTTGCGGCGTTTCCGCCGGGGCACGTGGGCCTGCCCGTTGCGGCTGTGCCCGTGCATGTCCTGAGGCCGGCGTGGTCACCTGGGAAGACGCAGGGCCTGCGGGGGAGGAGAGGCGGGCAGGTGAGTCGCTGGGCAGCACGAGAGAGACGCCTGTCCAGGGAGGCCCAGCCGGGATCCGAGCCCACGGCTCCCCACCTCACCCCCGCAGCGGCGGGGTGTGGGAGGGGCATGCGATGCCGCGGTGGCTCCTAGGACGGGGCCCCAGCCAGCGCCCCCCAAGGCCGGCCCAGCTCTGGGATTGGAGTCCCCCCAGCTGGGCAGACAAGACCACCAGGATGTAGTTCCGGGAGCCAGTCTCCCAAAGGCTGCCCTCGGCCCCACCTTGGTTCCTGTTCCAGATGCTTCCCCGGGGCCGCCTGGCCGGGCTCTGGCCCGGCTCTGCTCCCTGGTTTCAGCCCCTGCCTCGGGTCTCTTGGGGCTGAACGGCCTCCTTTGCTGCCCCTCGCAGTAGCCACTGACCCCCGTGGCTCTCTGCAGCGAACTGGCCTTGTCCCACATCAGGGGGTCTGGGTTCAATCCCTGGCTCCAACTTCTCACTGATGCACACCCTGGGCGGCAGTGGTGATGGCTCAAGTCAGTGGGTTCCTGCCGCCCGCCGCCCACCGCCCACCGCCCACCAGGGAGACCTGGCTGGAGTCCCTGGCTCCCGGCTTCCGCCAAGGTGGGTATTTGAGAAGTAAAGTAATGGGTGGGGGCCCTGCCCGCTCTCTCAGATACGTGAGAATCCGGCTAACCTCATACCCTCGTCTGCACTGGCACATCTCAGAGCGCTCACAGCCACGCGGGCAGAAAGACACAAACTTCTCCCACCGCTGCAGATTGACGGCAGCCCCGCCTCGGTCCAGCCTCCTCTCCCTGAGCCCCAGATTCCTGCCCTGTCCCCAACCTGGAGCAGTGGCGGTGGCAACAGAGGGACAGGAAGCCCTGAGCCTTGCCCCCCCGCCACGCATCCCCATTCCCAGGTCACAGGCGGCTCAGAGCGGGAACGTGACTGAGGCCAGGTAAGCGGCTCCAGCCCCAGTGCTGTGAACGCTGCTGGCTCTCGGCAGAGGCAGACCCACCCCCAGCCTGGCTATGTCCCCCACTCGGGCCTCCGTTGCTCCATCTGTAAAATGGAACTAAGAAAACTCCAACCTCACAGGACCTAAGGGTTTTGCAGGTGTTGGCTGAGAGCCAGTCACCCTCCCGCCCGCCTTCCTGCTCCCCACGTGCCGGGAGCCGGGGAGAGGCAGGGCCGCCTGTCAGCGCCCCCAGCTGTCGCCGTGGAGGAGGCCCTCACCCTGCTGGTGGCAGCTGGGCCTGGGAAGGCAAACCTCCGTCCGCCCCTCCGTGCCTCTGCAGCCCTGGGCCCGAGACGGTGCTGCCGGGGCCCCCAGCGGCTGCCAGGGCCAGCGCCGGGCCTGGGTGCCCGAGAATGTTTTGGCCCAGAACCCTACAAGGCTGGGGGTTTCTATTTTCTGTCCCATTCTTCTGGCTGATCTAATTGTGCATCTGCGGCAATGTGTATACACTCCCCGGTGCAGGACGCTCGGTTGCCACAGCAACCGGAGCCGGCGACGCTGTAATTTAGAGATCAGCAGCCTGCCTTCCCCCCAGAAACTCCCTCTCCTGGCCCAGGGAGACGGAGCCCTGCCCCCACCCCTCCCCCGCGCTCACCCCACCCCGACCCCTGCGCCTCTCCCCTTCCCCCCAGAGCACACAGGCGCCCCCCGCCCCGCAGGCCCAGTCCGCTGCGTGGCCTTGGGCGAGTTCTTGGCTGCCCCCAGTCTGTTTCTTCTCCTGTCCGGAAAACGGGACCACTGAGCCCCACCTGCCAACAAACCAGCAGGCCGTGCAGGCGTGGCCTCTAGCGCCCCTCCAGGGGGCCCTAGCGGGGCCGGGGAGGGGTCCCAGGCTCTCTCTGCCTCCTCTCCCAGGTCTCAGCAGCAGCAGGTGGCCTCCCTGCTGGTCAGTAACTGCAGGGCAGACAGGGACCGCTACCTCCACTAACCCCGCCCCTGCCCCCGCCCCTGCCCCAGGGCTCGGTCCCACTGCCTCAGTCAGTACCACTGACCCAGCAGGAGGAAGACAGCGACCCCAGACCCTCACTTGACATCTGAGGCAGAGGGAGTCCAGGGTCAGAGGGCAAGCGTCCCAGAGCCAGGTGGGGTGGTCCCAGAGCTAGGGGGTGGTCCCAGAGCCAGGTGGGGTGGTCCCAGAGCTAGGGGGGTGGTCCCAGAGCCAGGTGGGGTGGTCCCAGAGCTAGGGGGGTGGTCCCAGAGCCAGGTGGGGTGGTCCCAGAGCCAGGTGGGGTGGTCCCAGAGCTAGGGGGGTGGTCCCAGAGCCAGGTGGGGTGGTCCCAGAGCTAGGGGGGTGGTCCCAGAGCCAGGTGGGGTGGTCCCAGAGCCAGGTGGGGTGGTCCCAGAGCTAGGGGGTGGTCCCAGAGCCAGGTGGGGTGGTCCCAGAGCTAGGGGGTGGTCCCAGAGCTAGGGGGTGGTCCCAGAGCCAGGTGGGGTGGTCCCAGAGCAAGGTGGGGTGGTCCCAGAGCAAGGTGGGGTGGTCCCAGAGCTAGGGGGGTGGTCCCAGAGCCAGGTGGGGTGGTCCCAGAGCTAGGGAGTGGTCCCAGAGCCAGGTGGGGTGGTCCCAGAGCTAGGGGGTGGTCCCAGAGCCAGGTGAGCCAGGCCTGCTCACTCCCTCCCCGGGAGGGAACCCCTTCAGCCTCATCCTCGGGGCGAGGGCAGAGAACACATGGGCCCAGTCCCAGAGGCCTGCAGGGCAGTGGCTGAGTGGACACAGTGCCACAGGCTGGCCCTTGAGTTCCTGAGACAGTGAGGGCCCTGCCCAAGGCCAGGGTCCTGGGCGCCCCCTGCTTCTGGTTCTCTGCCTGATGGGCCTGGCCCCTCGGCTGGTGTGCAGGGGTCTGGGGGGAGGGAGGAGGCGCAGATGCCCCAGGGCTACAGGCTATGGGGCCGGCCCTCCCCTGACACCCCACTTTCAGCACTCACTCCCCAGCCCCCGCCATCCCAGGGTCCCCCCCAGTGCAGCCCACGGGGACACCGTTCACCCCTTTATGTGCTGGGCGCTGCAGGGGGCTGCAGGGGGCTCCCAAGCTCCTGCACATGCCCAGTGATGCCCCCTCCTGGGCCCTGCAGACGTCCTGCCCAAAGAAGCCAAAGCCCCAGCCACCACGCACCCTTCGGCAGGAACAGGATGCCAGCCCGGCGACACGGGGGAAAGCGCCCACTGGGCACCGCGTGCCCGAGGGACGATCGCGGAGGGAGGGCCCCGCGCCCAGGGGCAGCTGCGGATTGGGCAGGAGAGGGACAAGAAGCACCGCCCCCACCCCGGCACACACGAGGGCACTTCCAAAGGCTGGCGGAAAAGCAGAAGTCAACGATAAATGCATCCTGGCTTGAAAAAAGGTTTGAGCTCCGTGCACCGTTTTCTCACAACGTGCATTTCCCAGGAACTTCGGGAAGACCCCGCGAGAGAGACCCCTGGAGGGGGAAAGAGCCTGGCCGTCCAGGCGCCTGCACATCGCCTCCCAAAAACCGCTCTTCTGAAAGGCGGGAGCCGGTCCCGCACCCCCGCACCCAGTGCACGCGGAGGGGCGAGGGTTCAGCCCCTCCGCCGCTGCCTTCTGCCCAGACCCTGAGTGAGTCCTTGCCCTTCCTGGCCTCAGTTTCCCTCCAGGGGGTGGCCGCAGCCCCCCGCTGGGGTTTTCTCCAGGGTCGCACGTAGAGCTTTGTGTGACATCACAGAACCAGGCGGACCTGGGGAGTGCGGACGCGGTTCCCCAGTCCCCTCCACTCCACGCAGGCCTCCAGCCCAGGGCAAAACCGGCGGAAGCCTTCCTCCCGGATTGCGTCCGGGGCTCTCGGGGTTAGGAATCGGCCGGCGGGGAGGGGGCTGCTGGCCACTGCCCTTTCTCTGCTGATGGCGTTGATGTCGCTTTGCCACCTCCCGACTTTGTTTTTCTTCTGATTTTACTGTGCTGCGAACGCACGCAGCCTGAGAGCCCCTAGTTCCCTAGGGAAACTGAGGCCAAGGACTGGACTGTGACACAGTGTCCAAGGCAAAGGAAACTCGGGTCCCAGGGGTGCCGTGAAGTGGGCCTCTGCCTCGCTCACCCTGCCGGAGCGACAGGAGGCCGGGTGATGGGGGGCTCTGCCTGCCGGGGGGTCTGGGGCAAGCAGGAAGATGACCACGCTGCTGCTGTCCTGTGAGTTCTCACTACAACTTCACACACACACACACACACACACACCCCGGCCGCCCGCAACCGCCTCTGCCATACGGAAGCCAGTCGACTGGCAGCAGCCCCCTACTCGTGGGGGAGGTGGGGCAGGTGCACCTCTCCCAGGCCCCACAGCTCCCAATCGCAGCTACCACGGACGGGAGGCGGGCAGGGCAGAAGCCCTTAGCCAGTGCCCCCCGCACAGCTTCTGGCGGCAAGGAGCACCCTGGGAGCGCAGCTTTGCCGCGGGCGGGCGGTGCCTCGTCTGTCTCATCTCTGCATGCCTTCATTTACTTAACAAGTATTTATTAAGCAGCAGCCGGGGGTGGGGGGCTATTGTCTTCCCAGTTGAAGGCCTGCAGGCTGCAGAGTGGGGGGGGGGTGTTTCAAGGCAGCAGAGACAGCAAAGATGAAGCCAGGATCACACTCAGGTCTGGCTGGCTCCAGACGCCCCCCACCCCCACTCACCTGCCTGACTGCTGTATCGGGCCTGGCTCCTGTCTGCGCTGCCCCCCCACCCCACCCCAAGTCCTCCGGGCCCTCCCGCGCACCCTGGCTGCTCCGATGCCTCCCCAGGCCACGCTGCAGCCGGCAGCCACGGCTTCCACAGAGAAGCGGCCCCGGCTTCTCTATAATAACGTGGTGGTTACAGCCACGTTTGGGGCGGCGAGATGGGTTCTCAGTCTCGGCTCTGCCACCTCCTTGCCCAGCCTCTGTGAACCTTGGTTTCCTGTAAAACAGAGACGGTGCCGGCGGTGCCGGCCCCCACTCAGCAGCTGCAGGACAACCACTGCGCTACAGAAACCCCAGCTGATGCCCGGGCTCCGCGGCGCCCTGCAGGGGAGATGCCCGGGCAGCGACGTGGGTGACGGCGGGGACCCTGCCAGGCCCGGCCTCACGCCCCCCGCCCTGGTACCCTCCGCTCCAGCTGCACAGTGTGGGGGGGCAGGAATCCAGGGAGTGCGGGGCTGGGCCCAGCGTCTGGAGTATGGCGGGTGGTCGGTGGCAGGTCCTGTGCCGCCTGGGCCTGCATGGAGGCCAGCTCCTCGCAACCTTGAGTCTGCTGGGGTGGGCGCCAGGGGGATCGCAGGGCACCCAGAGAAGTCCTGGAGGGAGAGACCCTGTCCCCGGGGACGGGGAAGGAAACAGACCGACCCCACTCCAGCTCGGAGCCCTCCCTGGCCTGGGCCCCGCTGCGGGGGGCGGGGGGCGCTCTGCTCACACGTGCGGGCTTTGCAGAGTCAGCCCCAGGAGCCTGAGTTGTGCCCCGCAGAGCCAAAGAGAGCCAGGGATGGTCCCAGCCACGGGGGAAAGTGGCAGGCTGTCTCCGCTGCCCACGGCCCCCTTCAAGTCTGCTCCACAGACCCTAGGAGGTCTGACTCCCTCCTCTTCATCACTCTTAAGAACTCACAGCATTGTGGCACAGTGGGTTAAGACGCAGCCTGTGACGCCAGCATCCCTTATGAGCGCCAGTTCAAGTCCCAGCTTCTCCATTTCTGATCCAGCTCCCTGCTAATGCGCCTGGGAAAGCAGTGGAGGGTGGCCCTGCATGTGGGGGACCCGGACAGAGTTCCAGGCTCCTGGTCATTTGGGGAGTGAAGCAGTGGGTAGAAGATCTCTCTATTTCTCTACCGCTGTCTGTAACTCTGTCCTTCAAATAAATTCATAAAAATGTGAAAGATTTATTTGAAAAGAACAGTTACAGAGAGGGAGAGAGAGGTCTTCCACCTGCTGGTTCACTCCCCAAATGGCCGGAGCTGGGCAGATCCACAGCCAGGAGCCAGGAGCCAGGAGCTTCTTCTGGGACTCCCACGTGGGTGCAGGGGCTGAAAGACTTGGGCCTCCTCTGCTGCTTTCCCAGGGGCATTAGCAGGGGAGCTGGATCAGAAATGGAGCAGCTGGGACTCGAACTGGTGCCCATATGGGATGCCAGCATTGCAGGTGGTGGCTTTACCTGCTATGCCACAGCACTGGCCCCAAATCAATAAATCTTAAAAAAGAAAATAAAAAATAGAACAAGACCCCACACCTCTGCTCTCCCAGCGTAGTGGCTTCACCTCTCCTCTCTCCACTCCACTTTCCACCTGTGTGACCTACTGCGAGTTACTGAACCTCTCTGAGCCCTGCACACCTCACCTCTAAGCCAAGCTAGCAATGGCACTTCCTTCATGCGACTACAAGGAGAGAGAGGGCCTCGTGCGTGTCACACGCCCGCACAGAGACGATCAAGGTTGTGCTACCCACAAGCCTGCCCAGCGTGAGTTGCACTGCCAGGGACAGTCCCACCTGGCTCTGAGTCTCCCATCTCATTTGCAACAGGAACATGGGGCAGAGGAGGGGGGTCTGTAGGAAAAAAAATCCATGGGGCCTGCGCTGTGGCGCAGTGGGTTAATGCCCTGGCTTGCAGCGCCGGCATCCCATATGGGCGCTGGTTCTAGTCCCGGCTGCTCCTCTTCCCATCCAGCTCTCTGCTGTGGCCTGGGAAAGCAGTAGAAGATGGCCCAAGTCCTTGGGCCCCTGCACCCACAAGGGAGACCTGGAAGAAGCTCCTGGCTCCTGGCTTCAGATCGGCACAGCTCTGGCCGTTGAGGCCATCTGGGGAGTGAACCAGCAGATGGAAGACCTCTCTCTCTGTCTCTCTCTCTCTCTCTCTCTGCCTCTCCTCTCTCTGTGTAACTCTTTCAAATAAATAAAGAAATCTTTTTTAAAATTTTTCATGGCAAATGTGTACTAAGAAAAAAATACGGCATAGATTTCAAAAATTTTGTGCCAAAATAAACTTACCTTTGAATTCCATCTTTCCATGCCGCCCGCCTGCAGGGAGGTGCCTCGGGTCACTACGGGGCCCGCCACACCGTAGGGGCCAGGGAAGGCTGCGCCTCCCCCACAGCTTCCTCCAGGCCCTCCAGCCCCAGTGCAAACCCCACGCTGAGCCTCCGGGCAGTCAGCGCGGTTCTGAGTGCTTTTACGGGGATCGATCGATGCCTCTCCCCGAGGTGACCTCAGAGGCAGTTACTGTATCCTCTCCGTTTTAGAAGGAAGGAAAACAAGGCACAGAGAGGCTCAGCGTGGCGACCAAGGTCACACAGCTTGCGAGCGCCAGAATGTGGACCGGAGCAGCCAGCACCAGGGCGCACAGACGAGGCACCTGCTCCTGCCTTAGAGAAACGCAGCTGCGTTCGCTTCCCTTGAGAAGTGTGGCCAAGCCCCCCTGTGTGCCGGGCTCAGAGAAGTCAGTCCTGCCGGGAACAGAGGAGCCGGGTTACGAGGCCGGAGCCAGGCCTGCACACAGAGGCCAGCCTGGGCTCCGGGCGGGCAGCGAGCAGCCGCTTCCTTCCTCAGCTCAGCGGCCCCCTCCCCCGTTGTCCCAGCCTCTCTGGCAGGGGGGCAGGTGAACGGGCTGGCAAGCAACTTCCCCAGAGAGGCCTCAGGTCAGGAGCAAAGGGCAGGAGCCGGTGGATGGGGGATGGGGGATGGGGGGCCAGTCACCTGCTCCCAACCACAGATGTGCCCTTGGCTGCACTGCGGACGCCTGGCTGCTGCCCTCCCTGGCCCCCACGAAGGGCACCCCTAATACCCGAAAGCCAGAGTGGGTCTCTGGAGGTTTTTCTTTCCCAGAGCAGCCCACAGCCCCTCGGAGGCAGCAGCAGAGGGGTGTCCCAGCCGGCCGGCCAGGGTCCCAGAGGCAAGAGAAGAGGGTGGTTTAGGTGGAGGGGCCCCCACTGGCCCTCCTGGAAGCCCCTCCCCCCTCTACAGCCAATAGGGAGAAGAGGAGGTGCTGGGTGTTGACTGTCCTTATGCCCATTGCCTCATCCGGGTCCTGGGGCAGGTAGGCGCAACGGGGGTTCCCGAGCTTTGAGGAATGGGGGCAGGGAGATGGGGACTGGAGCTGCCCTGAGCCCCGCCTCCTTCCTCCTGGGTCAGTCCGCAAGGCCCGAGGACCGCCTGGGACTCCAGCCCGAGATGTGCACGCACGCAGGGCGGGAGGCGGCCCACGCGGCGGCTCTGCCACCCGCCGCCAGCACACCTGGCAGGCAGGGAACCGGGCGGGGGGCGGCGCGCTGGACGGGCCACGCGGGCCTCCAGGGCGGCTTTGCGCGGGAAGAGGCAGCGCCGGAGGACGGCAGAGTGGCTGCGGCTCGCGTGAACCGAGCAGAAAAGCAATGTGCAGAGACATGAGCCAGCTTGGCCCTGGGAGACCCGGGACACTGGCGACAGCGGCTGCCTCGGGAGGGCCGGCATTCCCACGGCACCCCCGCCTCTGTCTTTTCTGCTTCGGAGCCCACTGCTTCTGGGGAAGCCCCTACACGGGAAGTTTTGAAGTCGGCGTGCACATGTGTGTGCCGCCGGCTGCCCAAGAAGGACGCGGACCCCAGAAGCGCGGCACCTGGGGCTGTGTGGCTTTGAGGAACTGCCTTAACCTCTCTGAGTCACAGGCATCAAGTGGAGAGCGACACACGCACTGTGGCCGGCCGTGAAGACACGAGCCCGTCTGGAGGGGGCGGCCCGCAGCTCCCCCGCACCGCCCAGCCTCCCGCCGCCCGCCTGGCCGCCTCGGCTGGAGGCCTCAGCTGGTCCCCTTCTCACTCCCCAGCTCCCCAGCCAGGGCGCCCCGCTCGCTCGGGCCGCAGCCCCACGCCCCTCTGGCTGCACCTCTGCGCACACTCACCCGGCAGCTCCCAGGCTCGGCCATCTCATCGACCTCCCTTCTCTCCTCCGCAGCCCTCCCTGTGACCTCATCCAGTCCTGCGGCTTAAAATACCGCCGCCGGATCTCCCTCCTGAGCCAGCCAGCGACAGGCAGACTCCTGCCCCCAGGGGTCGGCTCAGGGGCACCACACACCTCGCATGCGGCCAAGGCGCAGCCGCACCCCCATCCTCACTCCTCCGTCCCCCAGCCCCAGGTTGTCTCCCCAACAGGAGGCGCGGAGGCCTGGGCACCCACCCATAAACCTCTCCAAGCCCAGGTTGTAATGGCCACAGCCACTAGCCCAGGCTGGGTGGGCACTGTGGGCCGGGTACCAGGCTCACCTCTGAGCCTCTGTGAGGCAGGGGCTGCTGGTATCACCCCGCAGGGGGCTCAGGGAACCATGGGCCCGGACCCCCACACCTGCAGAACCCCATCACTACCCCCCATCACTGCCCAGACAACCCACAGCTGCTGCCGCCCAGCCCCGCCGAGGGCTCCCCATGGCCTGGGGTTGGCCTCATAGCCCTGGGCGAGGTCCTGGCTCTCTGACCTCACCCCCTCTGCACTCCCCAGGGGTCTTTCTTCCTGTCCGTTGGGCTCACCAAGCCTAGCTCCTACCCCTGGGCCTTTGCACTGGCCGCTCCTTCCTGGTTGGGATTCTCTCTTCCAAGCCTCTGGCACTCACGCCCCCTACCCTGCGGTCCCGATTCCAGGGCCGCTCCATCCAGTCGCCTGATCTTCCTCCCAGTACTTTTGGTCCAAACCCATCCCACTCACGCCATCCTTAAGGGTTCTCTGCTGTTCCCCGCGTCCCTGGGCCCAGCCCGTAGCAGACGCTTCACGCACTCACGCACGGCACAGCACCTGAGCCCGGGGTTGTGACGCGGCGTGACCATGGAGACGCTGCAGTCAGGGAGCCCCTCTCGGCGGGGACAGAGGAGTCCTCGGGCATGGGACAGAGCACCTGGGCGGGGGAGCGGGAAGCGCCCAAGGACCTCAGGTGCTGGGCCGCAGAGATGGGACCCGGGCCAGGGCTGCCTGTGGAGCACTCGGCCTGGCCGCCACCCTAGTGCTCTTTCGGTCACACCTAAGGGACTCTCACTAATGGACGCCTGCTGTGTGTGGGCAGGGCGCCCCAGGCGGGCCCATTTCTCACCATCTCACTGCTGGCTCCTCAGACCAGAGACTCCCAGGCCCAGCCAGGCCCCTCATTCATTCACTCATTCATTCATTCCTCGTCCCTAACGCACCCTGCGCTGGAACAGCGGCCCCTCTGTCTCACCACAGCGCGCGGCCGCGGAGGACACTCAGGGACTGCTGGCCAAAGCAACGTTCGCTGAGCGCCTGCCACGTGCCAGGGAGAGGGACTCCCCGAGCCCCCGTGTGAGCGTGAGGACGGGAGCCAACGGCGCCAAGCGAGGGTCCCCGGGGAGACGTGGGACGAGTGTGAGCAGGAACACGGGCAGGGCGGGGCTGGGAACTGGGTCCGGCTGGGTTCAAGGCCCAGGGCTGGGGTCGCTGACCTGGAGGGGCCGGGTGAGCTGCTGAGCTCCGAGCAGACACTGCCCATTCCAGGCAGCTGGCACTGAGGGGACAAGGCGCCCTGTCACCTGGCCTCTCTCGGTGCTACCCAGGCCCGGAGTGAAGGCACACACAGGTCAGCGTCCCCTGTCCTGTGCTCCCTGACACAGCAGCATCCAGAAAAGCGCGGGCCTTCACACTGGCTTACGTGGTGGAACCACCAACTCCACTTCACCTTCCACCTTACATAGCGAGGCGACTTTCAGTGCGACTTCAAAAGCATTGGCCCGAGAATGGGGCGAAGGGGGGCCCAGGGCTTGTCTTGAAGCCGCGACGGCTCAGGCGCAGGCCACAGGCCTTTGGCAGCACACCCACGGGTGGTATTGCTGGAGGCCAAGGGGGATGCTGGGAACAGGTGCGAGCCCCCCCCCGGGGGGACCTCCACACTGCAGCCCAGGCAATGGGAACTCTGCGTCTGAGCCTCACCACGCCCCGTGTCAGACCCTCTGCTGTCCCCACCAGGTGCCACTCAGTAGCTGCTTACATATCTCCCGGGACAGGGAGCTCACCCCTGCTCAGACGGCCCGCCTGCTTGTGAGGAGGGAGGTGGTGCCGTGCAGTCCACGCAGCTGGCAGCTCCCGTGCTGGCTGGCCATGCTCCTTTCTGTGCTCCGGCCTGTCCCCTCAAGGACCCAGGACAGCACGGACCCCCACCCACCTGTTCCCTCTCCTGCACTGCTCACTCGCCGCCTACTCTCAGGGGGACGGCCCCAGAGCCCAGACAGCGAGAGGCTCTTTGGAAAGCCAGGTGGCCTCGGGGTCTGCAGCTGCAGGGCCTGGCCCTGGTGCCCCGCCTGCCCTACGGCCGGGGGCCGGGGGAGGCCGCGCGCCGACACAGGAGCTGTCCAGAGGCACAGTGTCTGAGGGTCAGGGCCGGTGAGTGGGGGGGCTGGGACTCGGTGGCCACTGAGTAGGGCGGCAGCCCCGGCCCCCGTGCAGACTCCCGGGTCCTCCCAGCAAGCTGCAGACGCAGGGACACGAGGCTGCCCCCGCGGCTCGGGCTCGGAGGCTCGCCGAGGCGGAAAACCTGGCCAAGGTGACACAGCTGCTCAGCGGTAGGGCTGGACTCGAACCCAGTCCTTCTGTCCCCCATCCATGGGCCTCGACTGGGACTACACCGGCCACCCCTCCGGCCTGTGTCTGCCACCTCCCCTGGTCAGCCCCGGAGTCCAGTCCTGTCTGTCCTCGAGGCTGGGCAGCAGGGGAGGGGGCAGGGCGGCCCCAGAGAGGTTGGGCAGACCCCTCCCCTGGGCCTCACTCTCCCTCCAGCCGAATGGCATCAGCTTCCCACAGCAGGCGTGTCCCCCTCCTCTCTGGCCAAGCTGGGGTCCCCTTCCACGCCTGTGGCCTGGGGGGAGCTGGGGTGGCCGCAGACAGAGCAGCAGAAGGAAAAAGCCAGGGAGGGGCCAAGAGAGCTGGGGGGCGGGGACCGTGACCTGGTCAAGGTCACGCAGGTCAGTGAGTGGCTGAGCACCTTCCTCTTCCGGCTGTGATAAGGGGCTGCCGCCCCTTGCCCTCTCCCCAACCTGGGGGTTTTCCCAGGAGTTGGGGGTCCCCTCCAAGCCCCAAAGACAGGGGGTGCCCTAGAGAGAGAGGAGCAGAGGGAGTGGCCCTTGGCTTTGGTCCAGCCCCCACTCTGCCACCATCACTGTGACCTTGGGCAAAGCCCCGTGGCCTCTCCACAGTGCCCGGAGAAGGACTAGAAAATGCAGATGCAGAGCACACGGGGCCCCTGGGAAAGCTGGGGGGCTTTCTCCTTTGTCCCAGTCCCGAGCTGCCCCCCACACACACAGAGGTCCAACTGCACCCGGCCACAGCCCACCTGGGCAGGCCTCCACCGCGGCTCCCGGCTGACGGGTCACCATGACAACGCCACCTTCTCCCCGCACAGCTCCTGTTGGGGGTGGGAACACCGAGAACCCATGGAGGACTCTCCTCCATCCGCCAGAGCCCACTTCTCAGGCCCACCGAGGCCACAGGAGCCACATGCTGGTACCACGCTGGCCGAGGACTGGCCAGAGAGCAGGTAAACTGTCACAGGGAGAGACAGGAGCCCCCCGGGGCTCCCGGCGTGGCCGCGGCCGGGTGCACAGTCCAACGGGGGCATGTGGCTGCTTCCTCCCCTGAGGTTTTGGGCAACTCTTGCTCCCCAGGGAGCCTCGGTTTATTTTCCTCACCACAGCCTGCAAAGGCACCAGGCAGAACCCACCCATGGAGATGGAGTCCAGACACCTTCCAGCTGTTCCGTGGGGCCGGCACCTCCCCCCACCCCCGTTGCTGAGCCTCAGTTTCCCCTTCTGCAGACGAGGAGAACCACCGATACCCCACGTCTTCCAGGTCAACACAGGGCAGTGCTGGCCAGGGCACCCCAGCAGCTGGGGGAGCAAGACCCAGAGCCAGGCGGAGCGTGAGCCCCTGCCCCCACGCTGCACCCCGCCCACCAGGCTGTGAGCGCCGCCGAGTGCGCGCCTGCAGGAGCGCGCGTGTGTGACTCAAAGTCTATTCATAGCCGTGCTCCGCCAGCTGCGGCGTCACAAGCAGAGGGGACTCAGCCCATATTATTATTCCAATTACCATCTGAATTAAAAGTTTGAGCAGAGATCGGCCCACGTAGCCAGGGGAGAGGGAGCAGCAGAAAAATAAAGATGAGAAAGAGAAGGAGGGCTGAGCCCGCAGTTGCCCCCACGCCCCAAGGAGCG